CACTCAAGTTGACAGGAGATGATGCAATGTCCACAACTGCAGGATGGAGTAGCTCACTACCAGTAAGAGCCAGGAGTAGAACCTGTCCTCTGGACCCTGAGATTCCTGTACAGTGAACCTCCTGGATCCAGGAGACAGCTGTAACACTGGTGGCATGACAGAGAAGCAGCAGAAGGATCAGGAACCAGAAACCTACCAGCCACTGTTGGGTTTCCTAGGCCAAACCCAATACAAGTGGGTTCCTAGGCCAAACTGTTATCCAGTACAATTGTGTGAAGACTGCAGCCTAGGAAAGCCTATGGTCCCTCTGAGCCAGGGTCTGTTCCACAGTATCCAACAGCAACAGTTCAACTCTCCGTACACGGAAGGAAACACCACCCGGTCCTGCGCCGTCCGCACGATGGTTATGCTGGAGCCTGCTGCAGCTGCTGTGTCAGTTGGTCCAACCCATTGAGGGCCTCCGCTTTTCCACCTCCCATTCACTCTATCAAACATGATGTCCTTCTCCAGGGGCTGATCTCTTCTAATAACATGTCTGAAGTTTGTAAGATACACTCTCTCCATCCTCGCTCATAAGGGGCACTCTGGCTGTATCTCTTAAGAGGAATCTGCACCTTCCTTCTTCTGGCAGTCTATGGAATACTCAGTGTTCTTCTTTTGCCCCACAATTCACTTAATCAATTTTTCTCCAGGCTTTTTAATCACTGTCTGGGGCTTGCATGCATCTGAGGAAGATGAAAAAGCCAAGGCCTGCCTCAGGCAGAGATTAGCATTTAAGGTGACATTTTACCTCGTTAGCAAGTTAAAGAGCCTTTTGCAGCAGACTTACCCAGTGCACCACGTCATCCGGTGTTTCTTTTTCACTCTGCAGCGCATTGTAAACAGGGCACCTGGGACCTTGGACATTTCATTCATTCTCAGCCTTTGACTCATCCCCACCAGGAAGAACATCAGACTGGTTTTGATGGAATTAAGTGAATCACCAGACATTTCTAGACAGTGTGGTTCACCTGTATTCCACAGGGATGTTTAGATGGGTGCCTCTATCCATTCATCTGTTTTAAAAATTCTATTTCTATAAGCCTCTGTGAGCTGGGCAAGGGGTCAGTAAAACTGAAGGAGAATCTATGCCTGGGGATTAAGGTATTGGCTAAGAATACTGAATATATCATTCACTTCCAGAAGAACAAACAAATCTGTCTTGGAAGATGAACAGACAGAATGCTCCTTGGAAGTGAGGATGGAGAGAGGGCATCTCGCGTACTTTGGACGGGCTGTCAGGAGGACCGGGCCGAGGAGGAGGATGTCATGTTTGACGAAGTACAGCATCAGTGACAAAGAGGAAGACTCAATGGGGCTAACATGAGGACAAGAAAGAAAAGGTGCCCTGTCATTGAGAGTGGTGATGCTGCTCAGCACCTCTGGGTGTGATTGGACTGCTGTTGAAATGTCTGACGCCATCGAACGGTTGAAATGCATGACATGTGGTGGAGCCGGCGGGTGACCTCAGACAAACTCGGGGCCCTTTCCTGTCACGGGCAGACCCGGCATTGGTGTTTGGCTCCTTGGACGTTCAGTCATTCACCTAGACGGGCAGCCTCCACCAGGCCCCTGACAGAAGGATCCCAGGACTCGCTCTCCTCAACCCCGCCACAGGCCACCGACACCATGTCGGCCAGGCAGGCCACTGGTACCTGGATTGTTTTCTACTCGAGTTCATGGATGTCCCACCTTCAAATGTTTCACCATCTCGTGACTGGGCGGTTTTCTACTTTGCATCCTTTGCGGGTGTCATGTGTTTTCTGTGACTGCTGGTGTCTTAGTTACCGAGTGTGGCTATAACAGAAATACTGCGAGCCAATGGCTTTAACGAACAGAAAACTGTCCTTTCAAGTGTGGGGAGTCTAGCTGTTCAAATTCAGGGGTGGGGTCTAAGGGAATCGTGGTGCTGCAGAAGAACGTGGAAAACACCATGGTCAGCTAACAGGACAAACTGATCTGCATTGGAAGAAGTACGGCCAGAGTGCTCCTTGGGGGCAAGGATGGTGAGACTTTGTCTCACACACTTTGGACATGCTGTCAGGAGTGGCCAGTCCCTGGAGAAGGACATCACGTTTGGTAAAGTGGAGGGGCAGCGACAGAGAGGAAGGCCCTCAAGGAGGTGGACGGACACTGCATCTCTGAGCTCAGGATAGGAGCAGTGGTGAGGGTGGCGCAGGACCAGCAGTGCTTCATTCTGTTGTGTGCAAGCTCACTATGGGTCGAGCCAACTCTGAGCCCTGACAGCAGCAGGTGCAAGGGGAGGTGCTCCCTCCTCCTCAGCTCCCTCCTTTCAGCATCGTGGTTGAAAGCAGAAGCACTTGGGCATCTCGGCGTCCTGGAACCAATCTCTGTGTGGGATCCTGGGGCCAAGGACTGGCTCCAGTCCTGACCCATTGTGGTAGTTACATAATCTGTTGTCAATTTGAGACTTAAAAGTGAAGGGGTGGGGTTTATCCTATCAATCGGTTGCAGCTTGGTGACCTCATTTGGAGACACCAAGGAGATAAATAACTGGCTGGAGGCAGACACATGCTCAGTCCCTGAGAGGCATTGCTGTTGACAAGCCATATGGAGAGAGGCTGATAGAGACAGAGCCCTGGAGCTGAGGAGCCACGTGGAGACCCTTGCCAGTGCTGAGATACTTACAACGCCACTTGATCCACAAGACTTTCCACCCACTGGTCGGTGATCTTCCTGGATGCAGCGTCATTGCATGTATTCCATGCATCTGAAGAAGAATTTATAGATTCATAGCAGACAAATGGGCTAATATCAGACTAATGGATTTTATCTGGACTGGGCTGGGATGTTTTCTTAATGTACAATTACTCTTTATATAAAGCTCTTTTCTAAACACATATGAGTGTCCAAGAAGGCCTGGGATTGGCTGCTTGAAGCTCACACTTCAATAAAACCCATTGCCATCAAGTCCATGCTGTCTCACAGGCACCCTGAAGGGCAGCGGAGAACCGCCCTGTGGTTTATGAGGCTGTAACTCATTATAGGAGCACACAGCCTCCTCTTTCTCCCACAAAGCAGCTGGTGGTTTCCGAGTGCTGACCTCAGGGTCCGCAAGCCAATGGACACCACACTGTGCCAGCTGCCATGACTGCCAGGGCTCCTAGTTATGCAGCTGTCCCTTCCAGTTACACAGTTGTGCCTTCTAGTTACACAGCTCTACCCTCTAATTGCACAGCTCTACCTTCTAATTACACAGCTCTACCTTCTAGTTATACACAGCTCTACCTTCTAGTTAGTCATACAGCAGTACCTTCTAGTTACACAGCTGTACCTGCTAGTTACACAGCTGTACCTGCTTGTTACACAGTTCTACCTCTAGTTATACAGCTGTCCCTTCTGGACTGCTCAAGAACAATCCATACCTAAGCCACTAACGCAGGTGTCTACTATCACCGTGAAGACAGATGCATCACAGGTGATGTGTGCACTGTCCCAGGGTTTTCCTGAAGTGCTGCTGACATGAGACACACATTGGGGGCTGCTCTGTACGCCACATCCCGTTCTCTGATCAGCATTTCCAAACAGTTAAAACCCTAAGGGGGGAACCTGCCTGTGGTAATTACATAATCTGATGTCAATTTGAGAATTAAGAGTGTAGGGGTGGAATCTAGCCTGTCAATCAGGATATAGCCAATGAGGCCTCTGTGTGGTCACGACTTTCTCCTGAGGATTCTGGGAACTCCTGTATTTCCTTCTGGGAGGCAAGAGACACACTCTCTCTGCTCACTCCCTGTGAGAAGCATCTCTGTGGAGAAGATACATGGAGAGAGGCTGGTGGAGCCAGAGCTTCGGAGCTGGAAAAGTCACTGTGGAGACCCCTGCCAGCACTGAGATACTCCTACTGCCACTAGATCCACAAGACTTTCCACCCACTGGCCTGTGATCTTCTGCGTTCGGCATCATTGCATGTGTTTTGTGAGTCTGAAGAGGACTTTATAGATTGGTATCAGGCATATGGGCTTAATCGGACTTATGGACTTGATCTGGACTGGGCTGGGAAGTTTTCTCAATATTCAATTGCTCTTGTATATGAAGCTCTCTCTTATACACATATGCGTGTCTATGAATTTGTTTCTCTAGCCCACTCAGACTAATACACGGTCCAACAGTATAGCACAGCTGGTGTGGCCTTGACAGACGTCTGGGGCACATGGCTGTGTTCAGAATGGTTCCGCTTTCCTGTTTGAGGAATATGCATTATTGCTTGACTTTCTCAGGTGCAATAAATACTATATTTTCTCTCTCAAGGGAGGGAGCCAGGGAAGGTTAGCATTTCCTCTCTCAGACTGAGCACTGGGAGCTGGTGTTCCAATGTTATGTCTGCCGACTAGCAACCTCTTCCTTCACAAATAATATCCCTAGGGAAGTAGACGCCCGCCCTCCCCAATACTTAGAACTCAGTGAAACATATAATGGCAGACTGAAGGCTTAGAAAATGGGCTGGGGGTGTTGGGGGCAGTGTCATAATGTACATCTACATTCTGTTTGAGAATGCGTCAGAAAGTTCATGCACAGATGAGATCCCGAGGCTTTTCCATGGGGCCCTAATGGCGTAGTGGCTACGCATTGGGCTGTGGACCACAGGGTCAGAAGTTGGAAACCACGAGCCACTCCGTGGAATAAAGATGAGACTCTCCTCCTATGAAGAGTCACCGACCGTTATAGAAACCAGGTATGGGGGTGGGGGGGGAGAATGACAGTTCTTTCCTGTCCCATGGGGTCTCTGTGAACCCCAATTGACTTGATGGCAGAGAATCTGGTTCAGGCTGGTTTGTAGGTTTTCCATGAACTTTTTGAAGTGCCCTCGTGTGTTAACTAGCAAATGCCCCCCCCCTCCCCCCAGTGTGGCCTCCCTCCAAATGAGAGCTGCTTTTAAAGGGCCCTTGTCTCAGGTGGTACGGGCCCTGACCATCTTTCTGCTGGGGTCCCCTCCTTAGGAGCGGCTTCTCCTGTCCTTGCTGCCTGCCCACATCGCGATGGAGATGAAGGCCGAGATCATCCAGAGGCTGCAGGGCCCCAAGGCCGGCCAGGTGGAGAACACCAACAACTTCCACAACCTGTACGTCAAGAGGCACACCAACGTCAGGTACTCGGACACTCGGACGTGCGTACGCCTCACCAGGCAGGGAGGGTGCCCGCACACTCCCCACTGCCCACACACACTCTGGCTATGTGTGGGGCGAGAGCAAGCAGGCTCTTTGCTTCCCGGGATGGAGCTGCCCATGCCGGGGACCATCACTGTCTCGGGCATCTCTGGAGTTGGTGTGGGGTCAGTGGGGGGCGGGGGGTTGGGGGTTGCTGAAAGGGAGGTCAGGGGCTCTGTGGCTGAGCACGGAAGACACAAGATGAGCTTTCCTGGGCGGGGGCTCCAGGAAGACAGCACGTTGCAGGGTGGCTGGCTTCTGCCCCCCTCAGGGATGGTGAACGTCTTGGCCGGCCAGCCATGCGAGAGACTGGCGGGCTCGCTCATGACCTGACAGCGCGGCTTCCCCGAGGCTGGCATGGCCAGGCCAGCTTCCCAGGGAGCCCTTCCTGGATGCCAGGCCTGGGAACGGAGGAGGAGGGCAGGGTTTGGCTCCGGCAGCAAGCAGAGTGGGCCATGGTGGCCTCGTCAGCCCCATTCCTCGATCCGGTGCCCAGCACTGCTTCTCCCTGGGTCTCTTCCTCCACCCACTGGGTTCTCTTGAAGGGGCGGGTTCTTCTGAGCTGGTGTCTCAGGAAGCAGAGAACAGGGCACAGCTCATCCTGGGGAGTGGGGGCGGTGGTGGCCCCGTACAATGCAGTGTCCCTGCCGGAGACCAGAGTTCACGTCTGACCTTACTTACAGGACAGTGGTGGGGCTGGAGGAGCAGGGTGGGAACACAGGCCTGCCTTCAGGCTGCCGGCACCTTGCTTCAGAGCCACGAAAGGCAGCGTCCGCT